AGTCTTAGTTAAATAATTGTATCATTGCCAAATAATTGTATCATTGCCATGAATAATATTAAAATTTGGAGACTTTTCAAAACACAGTGAACATTTCCGCTCCAAGCAATGTAAATTGAGATTATTATTAAGCAAAGAGATTTGGCAAGATTGGTGGCAGATGAATAAGCTATTACCTTAGCCTGATATAAACATAATCATTGTTAGTATGTACAGAACACAAGTAAGAATTTTTGAAGCCGTTTTTGGGAATATTACCCAGAAAAGACGATATCGGCAAAACTTTTCATAAGAGATATCTAAACCACTCGTTCTGTTAAACTTCTTGTGCAGATTAAGAAGCGTATCATTTAAAAGACGTATGTGTCTTTTTATTTTTCTGCGCGTGATAATCTCTTTCTTTCCGGCTGTCAATCTGCTATTCTCGTCAGCAATTAAAAAGTCACATATCTTTTTTTCAAACTGATTTTTATGATATTGTACTGTTTATTTATTTTCTTCTTCCTTATTAATTACATCCTGTATTTAGCCAGCCTTCGTTCCAATATATTTAATTTGTTTATTAAAAGCTGGTTTTGAGCTTTCAATATACAAGAATTTACTATTAACAAATTTGATAACTCAACAATAATAGCGGTAGCGTCACTTTTCTACTCCGAGTTGACACTTGACTGCGCTTCGTCCTTTCTTTTTTTGCGCTCAATATTTGTTCGCTAAAATAATTTCAATGAAACAGAAACTATGATTACAAATCTTATTTTGGCATAAAAATATTATCACTAATGCTTTAATGCGATCAATTTGTATTGTTTTACGAAACAGTTGTATGAAAAAATATTAGTTTAAACGTTGTTATTTTTTGTAGCTTCTGTAGTAACAAAACGTATGGGAGGGCTGGACAGCTGAGCTTATCTACCAATGTCGATGGATAGATAGAAGTTACCGTCACTTTTATTTATCGTCGATAACGAGATATTGCTTACTGAGGATAGGTTATTGGAAACGGCCGTAATTCCCGAATCGTTATCTGTTTTATTGAAAGGAATTATATGCCAATCAAAACACAAGTCACTAAATGCAGCGCGAAGGATTGATCATTCCACCATTGCAGCAACTCGACTTGCTTCATTTCCTTCGGCGGTTTTCCCTTAAGTATTTAATATAGAAGGTCAACCAGATCCTGAGCCGCAGCCTGATACATCAAAAAGACCGAGGATAGAGTAATGGTACCACGTAAAAAAATGCGCCTCTAGACCCTACCTCATAGGTGATGGGGAAAAGAGTCAATAATTAATTAATAACAGTATTGCATTATCAATAATTAAAAAAGATTATCATAATGATCTTTACCGTTTGATCCTGCGTGTCCATTGGACTGTGTTCGGCCGGCGCTATTTCGCCAGCTGGAGCCACTTTCCTTCTCTGCTTTTTGCCTGGGGCTTTTGAACGACTACATGCCGCTCCTCCCACCATATTTGGCAGGCTTGTTCGACGCCTCACAGAGCAAGCAGTGTGGAACTGCAGAGCATTGTGCCTTTTTGTGGCCCGCCTGCCCACATCTGAAACACAGTTATATACACTGGGCTGTGTGTGGCATAGCTCTTCTTTTTCCCTCCATTCGAGGGCCGCTTGTTTGGCGGGGTGGGTGTAGCAGCGGGGGCGGACGCGGCTGCGACTGCGGCATATGCACGCGGCGGAGTCATGACCGCGCTCGTACTCGACGTCATCAGCGGGTGGCGGGAGTCGCTGTGTCGCGTGATTCGCGCACCTCAGCAGTAATCGGCGGCGACGACAAACTGCTGATGGAGTCAATTTGTGCGCTGCGACGTGTGTTTACGTTAGTGAACTCCGGTGACCTACTTACAGAACCATTATTTTTGAATGATAATAATTCTGCACGCAACTCACTGATGGTAGATTCGAAAATCTCTAACTTAAACTGCACGTCTGCCAGGCCAGCTTTCAGGGTGGTGATATCCATGAGCAGCCTGGTGACGTCAACGTAGTCGAACGTGACTGGAGGCAGCTTGTTCAGCTGCTTGACCACGAAGGCGGGCACGTCGTCAGGATCGGTTGTCTTCAGGAGATTAATGATGTCCTGAAGACTTCTCTCCCCCTTTTCATCCCTTCTGCTAGGGGGCATTCGGTCGGCCTGGCCGAGAGTCGTAGAGCAGTATCTTGCTCCTGCAAATCTCCTCTTTAAAGCTCGACTTGCAGATCTGCATGATGCTGACCTCGTCCATAGAGTCGATGGCGTGCTGTATAAACGCCAACAGCTCGTTAGCTATGAATTTTTCGGAACTCAGAGCGGCGGTATCCGGCAGCGGCTAAGTCGCGCAGTACACGAATAAAAATTCGGGTCAGAGTGTGCATGCAATGCGCGTCCGTTACCTAGCGCGCATTACAGACGACGATATGTTAATTAATATTTTAGTATATTATAAAATATACTTAAGTTAAATATGCTTAAAAGTTTTTTTTATAAATCATATGTGTTATATATTGATTTATATAATATTATTCTAAATTATTTTAACTATTATTGAATATTTTATATTTTAATTATATTTCATATCAAACATAAAATATTATTTAACATAAGTTTTTATATTATAAAAATTGATTTATATTTTAAAGCTGTGTCATGATTAACAAAAAAATACAGTATTAAACCATCTATTTTAATCACAACAATTATACTATTACATTTTCAACCTTAGCAAGACCAAACATTTTCCTCTTATAATAATTAGTAACTAAAGCTGGTATTCTCTCTTAGAATTAATAACAAAGAAAACAGTATAAGTCAAATATAACTATAAACTATTCCAATGTATTTAATTACAATTATAAGAATCTACATGAAGTATTCGAACAATAACTTTATTACAGTTATATTCATGTTTTTTTCTAACTCTGTACAAATAATATAATTTTATGTGAAACACTTCAAACCCAATATCTTACCACTACCGTTTAGCGTCCTCACTGGGCCAGCGGCTATTTCAAAAGTGAAATATATTTTCAGTGCTGACGCCTGAAGAAATGTCATGAAGTAACGTATTTACCGCCATTCCTTTTTGTCAAAGTTGAAGAGAGCGCCTCACACTAGAGTTGCCTTAGGAAAAAACACCATGGTGACAACATGATATTTGCCTTAATTTGGGGACAGTTAAGGCATAAATGGCAAGTCAAAATATGCTGTCACTTTCAGGACTATTGTATTTCTTTTGAGTCGCCACGCATCTCTTTCTAAGGGCATGACGTTATATGCAAATCTGGGACAATTTAGTTCGTAGGGATGTAAAAATCGGTATTCATTACGATTAAGTAAGGTATGTATTTTATCGTAATCTTATCGGTTTTCAACAACTGTTATCGGTTTTATAGTAAGGTTTTGATTTTTGATATTAATTATAATTAGAAATAAAATACAAAGATAGATTTCTAGTTTTTTTATTTTACTATTTCAATGCTACCACTAGTTTGGAAAAAATGCCTCAGACCTGAGAAGAACTAGCAAGGACCTCAGCGGGATAACCATTTTTTTAAACATTTATAATACATTGTTTGTTATTACAATAAAAGGAAATTTTTAAAGAATTTTATCAATTGAATACAAAATAAAAAAATATAAATTAGTACATTTGGTATAGACAAAAATTAACGACCTCAAAAAAATTATGATTGCAAAACAAATTTCTCATTTCTTTAAAAAACGTAAATGAAAATATTTTATAATACATATTACAATGCAATAAAATTAGAAATAACATAGAACAACAGTTTTTGTTAATAACAATATCATATTAAGCGAGTAGTAGTTTTAATTGTAGGTATATATTAAAATCTAGCTTTTGCGTTTGTTTAAAGTTTTAGCTCTAGAACCATCTTCATCTTTAGTTTATAAAATGCAAAGACTCGAGATTAGCGCGCTTGAACAAACATTTTAGTCTTATCCAAATTAAAGAAAATACAAATTTCAGTAAAAAGTGAAGCTTACGAAATTTAAAATCAATATGTACAGAGTAATAGTTAAAATTTGGTGTGAAAAGAAATAACAGCTAAAAATACTCTAAAAGAAAATTTCTAAATACATAGTTCTATCAAATGTAACAATTATAATTAATATATTAAAATTATATACTGCTATAGTAGTATATTTTAAGAAATTATAATATTATTTCACAGAAATCAAATGAAATGATCATACATTATTTTTTTACTTAATAGAAACATAATGAAAATGGAAAAAAAGTGATGACTAAGTGATTATCTTTTAAATAACCGAGAAATGAAACAAACAATAGTAATAAATATTAAAAGCTAATGAACTAAATAATGAAAAAATATTGGAAAATGAATGGAAAATTCTTTACTCTGAAGACGAGTTCAACCATAGCTAGGCCATTTTGAAATCTTCGTATTAAGCAAATTTTCTATTTCCAGACCCTTTTTTCTCGAAACCACTTTATGCATTCTTCAATTAAAACTTATACACCATTGTCTAACTTTTATACATACCATAAATAATGTAATTGCTCTAAAAATATTTCTTTATGATTTACACAAGTGTATCAAGATTTTCAAATACTTTTATTAAATTGGGAAATATGTAAACTTTACAAATCTTTGGTAATTGCCTTTCAATTATGTAAATTGCATACCATACTAGAGATGACAGATTCTTAGAAGGATAATGTATTTTATTATCAATGAATAAAATAATCTCAGCTGTGAATAAGCCATTCTCAATATTTACATTTAATGTATTACAATAATTGTGTTCTTCCTGGAAACTAAAAGCCTTTATCAGGAGACTTATAGATGCTGAAACACTTCGACTAAACACCTACGCAGCGTATTGTTGTATTGTATTCAGCCCTTTTTATCGTCCCACTGCTGGGCACGGGCCTCCCTTCAGTACGAGGGGAATCAGGCCATAGTCCACCACGCTGGCCAAGTGCGGGTTGGCGGACTTCACATGTCTTGCTGGGTCATTGCTGGGTGTACGTATCGGGAGTTAATCCTCGCTCTTGAAGATACTCAGCTGATGGTATTCTCAACACGATGATCTGGTTGTCTCCCTGTCCGAGTAATGAGGCTGTTGTGTCACAAGCATGGGCGGCCAAGAGTATTATTAAGATAGTAGCAAGGGTCCATCCCTTTTGGCGCAACCCTTCCAACCAGGCTTCAGGACCAATGACACACCGTGGCCTTTCCACAGGGTTGCCCTCTTGATCTTGGTCGGGGGGCTCGTATCTGTCTTGGAATAAGTGTGTTGAAATTAAGGGGAAAAGGTGCGTGAACCCATATACATTCTGGAACCCGAACAGGTTGTCTAAACTCCTGAAGAGTGGCTCTAGTAACTCAGCTCGGAAATGTGTGCACCAAGAGGAAAAGTCGATTATAATATTTACATATTCGTGCTCCTCACCGGGGCAGCTCATCTGGATGAGGGTCTTTGTCAGCTGTTCCTCCGTGAGGGTCATAGACTGGTGCTTTATGTATCTGAAGATGATATCAGCTAGATTCTTCTCAGTGACGCAGCGTATACTTCACTGTAAATATATTATTCATCAATCAGCCTATCGCCGTCCACTGCTGAACAAAGGCCTCCCCCAAAGAGCGCCAACCATCCCGGTCTTGGGCAGCCTGCATCCATCCACTACCAGCCACCTTTCTTAGATCATCTGTCCATCGTGCTGCAGGGCGTCCTACACTACGCTGGCCTAAACGTGGTCTCCACTCTAGCACGCATCGGCTCCATCGGCCATCCGTACGTCTGGAAACATGACCACTTCCACTTCAGCGAGCTTATTCTGATCTGATCTATTATTATATTATTAAATATATTATTATAAAAAATTAATGTAATACAACAAATGAAATAGTCAAATAAACTATAACTATAGTATTATTATTAGTAACTACTATAGATGAATAGACTGCTTATGTAAATGTAGTAATAGTTTATTATTATAAGGGTCTAGGTAGATAAGCCAATTAGGCCCTTAATCGTAGATAGCTAACGTTATTCAATACCTCTTATAAGCTAACCATCCGTCAAAACGACGGGTATTTAATAATTGGTGTTTTTTTTACTTGTACTAGTAATTTAAATGAAATATTTTTTATTTATAGGATACTGTTAGGGATTTGAAATAAAATACATCTTTAAAGTTTAACTTACTAGGTATATTTTTTATTTGGCACAAACTTTTATAAGGCACTATAAAAAAATGAAAAAAGGGCTAAATACATACATACATACATACATAAAAAAATGAGATCAAATAGTATGAAATCTTAGAACATGCAAAATCAACTATTAAATCCGCAGTAATGTCGTTATTTGACATTTCTGTAGTATAACAAAACTTATAAAAATAAAATGACAAAAACTTACTTATTTATCTTTGGCACAAGTAATGCATAAATCAACCTTATGTTCACCACAAATCTGTTTCTTACAAGTGGCACATATCGTTTTTGTCATACGCTTTTTTTTATAATGACATTGACTACACGTTTTCCTTTTACGCGCTTCTGTTGCCGTAGATGTCGAAGCTACTTCAGGGCTACCAGGTTCAATATCTGATGATGTACCAGGTACTTCAGGTTCAGGGCCAGCTCTTGAATTAGTCAAAGTTCGGGATTGTTGGAACTGTAGAACACTATGGATATTGTCAATTACGTGTCTAGGCATGGTTGTAACTGCCAGTCAAGGTGCCAAGGTTCTGTAAGCTGGAAGTATAAAGCTTTCAGAAAGTCTCTTCTAGGTGTTACCTTTTTACCAGATGTCGTCAAATTGTGGCAATGAATAACATAACTATTAATGGTAGCGATATTTATCATTCCATAAAAGACACACATAGGCCATCTATTTGTCTTCCTACTACATGACATATTTGAACACATCTGGTCTAGTGTGTCCACTCCTCCTTTGGTTGAATTGTAATATTCAATCATATGGGGCTTGTTAGATGTTACATTCACGGTGCCCTCCTCGTTGCAGGACGACAATTAAGAATATTGGTTAATATTGGTAATTGGTTAATATGTAATATTAGTTCGATTGAAAATACATTTATACTTTTAATCAACGTTTATTATTTATTACACTATTACTTTAAACGGTTCACAATAGTTGTCTTACAAGTCCATATTCTAATAAATTATATCCTATTCCGTATTCACAATTACCATAGACCAGTGTTGCCACACCTGACATTCCCCTTTTTTCCTTTAAGTAAACAAAACAAAATTCTAAATAACATAATCTTTGAAATAAGAGGGTTGTCTTAATGGTCTGTATTATTGGTTCGATTGAAAATACATTTATACTTTTAATCAACGTTTATTATTTATTACTTTAAACGGTTCACAATAGTTGTCTTACAAGTCGCCATATTCTAATAAACTCTATCCTATTCCGTATTCACAATTACCATAGACCAGTGTTGCCACATCTGACATCCCCCTTTTTTCCTTTAAGTAAACAAAACAAAATTCTAAACAACATAATCTTTCAAATAAGAGGTTTGTCTTAATGGTCTGCCAAACCTGTAAACTTTCACATTCTTATCACTAAGATTTTCACTATTAATATTTAAGTTTTTATTATTAACATTTATACTCTCTTTAATAACTTTGAAATTCGGTACATCATTATCATTTTCTACATAAAACTTTTTATATGGTGTTCCTATAAATATATGATACCTATTTCTTAATACTTCCTCCCCGTTATTTAACAAAATTCTGTAACCTCTATTTTTCTCTTCCTTAATTATTTTACCATCTATCTTCTCTTTAGTATTTTTATCACGTACATAAACATTTTGACCCTTATAAAAACTATCAATTTTACCTTTATTGTTCTTGTCATGGTAATATTTATACATATTTCTCTTTTCCTCTACACTTTGCTTAACCTTATTATATTTTATTGTATTATTATTTATTTTTAGTTGGTAAGTATGATGCTACTTGTCTTCCTAACATAAGTTCATTCGGTGACATTAATTCACAATCAATAGGTGTATTCCTGTATTCTAACAGAGCTAAATATATATCCTTTTATTTATTTAAACATTTTTTAAACATTCTTTTGATTGTTTGAATATGCCTTTCTACCATCCCATTTGATCTTGGATAATAAAGTGTAGAATGACAATGTTTAATATTCCACAATTTACAGAAATCTCTAAAAAATTGGCCTTTATATTGAGTGGACGCGCCAGACAGGAATTGCCCAAGTGAAGAGTAAAGAAGGTTACTCTTCCAGGGGCCGGGATAATGGACGTGTATGACCCCACGTCCAAAGGCAAAGATAGAGTTACTCTAGAAATAAACCCTGTTTATAAGAATTTCTATAAGTTTTAAAATTGAAGTGTATCTTTATAAGGCATTCTATAGCATGAAAAACCTTCTTTTCCTCTCTGACAATTTGGAATATTACAATGCTTTCCCATGTTTACACAAAATTAATAAAAAAACCAAACAAAGGAAGAGAAACACTAATGAAGAAATCACACGTATCGAAGCACAAATCTTAACTATATCACATTAATCAATACTAATGTAAAAATTGATCGAATGTAAATTTAAAGTGTAAAATAACATAAAAAACGGCAAGCCCTCACACCTTAGTCCACAGGGATGAGTAATAACAACAGTTAAAAGTTAAAACTTGAAAATTTCAGAAATGAAAAACTGTTGCAGTGACGTCACAGTAGTGACGTAGGTAACTGCGACAGAAATAAGTTGATGTCCCATTCGTTCTCGCCAAATGTAGAGATAGCATGTTAATTACCAAACAAATAAAAGGGACAGATAGATCCACCAAGAGCTTGTATGGAACTAATTCATCTATTTTATTTGTCATCCATGCACATAACCATACAAGCTGACAAACTCGAATAACATTTCGAACGGAATTCACAGACGTACTCGTACTTAAATTATATGTATTTCTATAAAATTGAATAATCATCAATTCTGATGTTATCTTTATATATTAGAACTTTCACACAAAATACACACGCTGCTATTCAATCTATAGTTATAATGTATTCTCTTAATTATTATTTTGTAGTGTATTTAAAAATTATTTTGAGCGTACAATCCCAAAGAAAGTTTCTAATGACCTTAGTTTCTTTCACTTATATTACTTCCAGTTTTAGGGATCCCCGGCTCTTATCCTGGCTTTACTTTTAAGAACAACTTTAGGTCGGCAACCACCCGCACTTTAATACCTTTCTTTAATTAAAATCAAATGTCTTAACACTTTGCTACGCGTCGCTTGTCTAGTTGAAGAGAACGAGTACCTACGTTAAACTCTTTGGTGCTCATCTATGCACGCATTAGGCAGGCTGGAAACTAAGAAGGCGAATATTTCTTTTTTTAATTTTGTTTGTTCTCTTTTTCTTTTTGATATTGGTGTGATATGATTTTTTCTGACGTGGATTACATTTTTACTTAATTACTTGTCAATAATTGTACCGATTAATACAAGAAAGTATTTCATTTTTTCACAACTTATAATTAAGGAAATACGGACATAGGTTACAGTTTCGTTAAAAGTGGCCATAGAAATAGCTCGTCTCTGATCAGAAATGAAAAAGAATAAATTTTTACTTATTTCCGAATGACGACATCTACTTTTGAGGACCTTCTTAAACGATTAGAAAAGGATTTAAAAAAGAAAGACACAAACTGGAGGAAAAGCTTGTGCCCTGAAGTAAAACTAGCGATATTTTTAAGATAAGAACTTTTATTTTTGTTATTATCAATTTAAATTTAAAATGACAAAAAAATGTACAAAAACAAAGGTTTATTTCAAAACAGAGACAGATCTGGTAAGTTTGACTCCTGGATGAAAGTAGATTCTACTGATGGCGAACATTCTACTGATGGTGTAGTCAGGATTAGAGATGGGACATACTTGCAAAATTTAATACCAGGGCTTATAAGTACGAGTATGGAAAAATACCAGGTTCGAAAACCAGGTTTCAAAAATACTTGAAAGTCTTTTTTAGTGTCAATTTATATTAATGACTAGTTCGAGTCGGGCCACAATTTTGATTGAAATGAAATCTTTCCTTCCTACTTTTTAAATCACATGCTTAGGACTGTCCGCTAAATATATTGTGTTTTTACGGAATTTAGACATGAGCTAGAATATAAACTAATATTAGCAGGCGTAGTTAAAAGATTTCATTTTATATACATAGATTTTTTTTGCATTTTTTTTTTATATTTTTTTTTGTTAATATTGAGCTTTATTTTTTATTTTGTTGTAGAAATAGTAACTGTTCTACTTTACGACTCCCCAGACGGGTCCTCCTCTCCGTTAATATGTTCCCTGCTACAGAAAACAACCGTTCACAAGGCACGCTAGAGGCCATTGCGTTTAATTTTATTTTGGCCAGTTTCGCTAAATTCGGATATATTGTTTGGTTTATTCGCCACCACTCCAAAGGATCCATATCTGGGGTTAAAACAGCGTCATCTAAATATTTTTGGGTTTCGACGATTGCCCTGCTACTGGCGGTTCCAGCTGGTCGTACATTTTGCATAAGCCTGTTGTAGTGCTTCCATAATAAACTGTTTGATTTTTTTTCCTTGTTATCTGGATCATCAGAAGTTGATATTGAAGACTGACATCTTTCAGTTTCATTAATCATTGTGGTTACTAGGCCAATGATATGCTTTTTCGTATTTTCCGCAACGTTTTCACTCTGAAAGTATAACTTATACCTCGGGTCTAAAAACATAGCGACAGCATAAGTTCGACTCTGTTCCAAATATGAAAATCGCGTGCTTATTTCAGAGAGGAGATCCTGTCGGCACATTTCAATTTCATCAGGGAAAACGTCAATGTTATTTTCTTGCCGATATGTTAGACTTGCGATTTCGTTGAGAGCGCTTATGAGACCATTTGTTAACGGAATGACTGCACTTCCACTTACATATCTTTGGCCGCTCATTTCTCTCGTCACTTCTTCACACGGTTGTAACACGATGATCAACGATGGGCATACATCCCATTCATAATTGGTCAACATAACTAAATTACCGGTGTCTAGATTACTGAGTGCACATTTAATTTTGTCTTTTAGTTCCACAAACCTGTTTAACATGTAGAATGTGGAGTTCCACCTTGTAACAACATCTTGGATTGGTCTCTTTACGACTTTATTAGCCTGTTCTTGGTATTTTTTCAATTTATTCCATGCTAAATTACTTCATTTGAAGTAGGAAACTATAGCCTTCACTTTACTAATTAAGTCGTTTAAATAAGAACTACCTAATACTTTTTGGACTGCCAGGTTAAGCGTATGTGCATAACAACCAAAATGTTTCCACTCTAATTGAGCTATAGCACTTTTGATGTTGGCACCGTTATCTGATACCGCCAGGAGAACTTTGTCAAGAATATTCCACTCTTGAGCGACATTTCTTAACTCTCCGGCTAAATTTAGCCCTGTGTGACGACTCTCTAACACTTTACATTCAAGCAGCACGGATTGCAAACTAAAATTTTTATCAATATAATGACCCGTAACCGCTAAATACGAGTCATTATTTCGGGACGTCCACATGTCAGTCGTTACACATATACTTTTTGCATCTTCACTTAGAGCTGCTTTAGTATTAGTTTTAACCTCTTCATACAGCCCCGGCAATAAATTATTGGCGAAATATTTTCGCGATGGTATCACATAATTTGGAAAAGCAAACTTTATTAATTCGCGAAACCCCTTGTCTTCAACTATAGAAAATGGCTGCAAGTCCCATATAAACAAATTCATGAAATGGTCATCAATTTGCTTTTTTATTTTTTGACAATCACGTCGAAGGAATGCTGAGATAGTGGGCATAGTAGCTGTATTGGACCTTATGGTACTAGAATGAGCGTCAGTTTGCAGTGGAGTATTGGATGTCAAAAATTGTGTACTTCTTGCAGCCTGCGCCGGCAACTCTTGACGCTCCACTTCTTGCTCCCTTCTCACTAAATTAACAGAAATATGTTTTCTCTGTACATGTTTAGTAAGGTTTGACACTCCAGATTTGTACGATATTATTACTTTACACATCTTGCATTCGGCTTTATTTTCTCTTTTGTCCACAAAATGATCCCACGCCAAACTTTTCTTAGGAGCCATACTTGTGGATTTGTATGTACGAAGATATACAAATATTTACTATTAACAATATATATATATTTATTTACTATTAACAACAAGAACCTATGATATATACACAAAAACACTATTTATACACTAAATATTATTTACAGTTTAAAATTTGTAATTTCCAAGTAATAAACACAATAATGTTCAGTTTATTTATTTACGTACTAAACACTAAAGAAAGTTTAAAAACTATCTTTAAATTAAATAAACCCGCGAAATAACTATTTAAAAATTAGGTCACGGTCAGTAGGTCACGCAATCAGTTCACGATAGCAACTGAATCTTAAAATAAAAATCGAAACAAAACTTTTACTTTCTCCAAAATAAACATATTTCTTTTTACTAACAATTAAAAAAAAAATACGCAATAATATCTCTTTTGTGTATGTATAGACATAAGGCTAAGTGGTGCGAAATAGTCAAAAGTATTTTTATTAATAGCATGTTTACGCAATTATGCTCCATAATGGGTTTCGTGTAAGTTAGCTTATTTGATTGACAAGTTCACGACCCGATCGGTTGGCACACGTGCATTAAGTACCTATGCAGATTTCGGTTCAAGCATTCGGCGTTTGTCGGAAATACTCGGGCCGACAACACCCTGCGCGTCCCGCGCTGAACGCGACGCGAGTGACGTATCCGGCCGCGGTATCAAACTTGAAAATACTTGCATAGGAATTCGACCCGTATACTAATTATGAATAAGGAGCAAAGTCGTATAAATAAAAAAATACTTTGAAGTTAAAAGTATATTTATTCACAAATACGATTAAGTTTCTTATTCCTATTGAGATATGGATCATTTTAATAATGCAATTTTTTCATGTGTAGTGTTCAAGTTCTTAGAGCATCCGACTTACAACAAATACTTTCATACTTACAAGTATTTTTTGCTGGTACCAGGGCGCCGTACTTTGAAGTGAAAACCTGGTTTTAAAATCTAGTACCGTAAATACGTCTCATCTCTAGTCAGGATGATGTGGCCTACTAAAATAACCTTGGGTGTGGTAGTGAGGAGTGCTAGAACTTTGTGAATATGGAGACCACTCGTAGTTTGACTAACCATATCTCCTACTTTTAATATTATGTAAAAGGTTTATCACTCCAGACGGAAATTCTAAAATTTGATCGTCATTAAATGAAGCCAGTTGCGGCAAAATACCTTTGAAGAACGATAGATTGGGATCATCAAGCTCATTTTTACTTTTTTTAACTGATTATTCATGTAATCAATCATTTTGGTGTCTACTCATTCATATTTCTATTGATTGCCTTGCGATTCGGCGGGGCTAAATTTTGTCTTTCCTTTTGTCTGTCACTTCCACTTTGTTCCATAATCTGTTCAGGTTCTTCTTCGTTTTCTTTATTACTTTCTTCTGTTTCCGTGATGTTGTCTGACTTATTTGTTTCATTAGCATTAGCAGGGATGTAAAAGTTGTCACCGGGGGTGACAACTTTTTTCAAAAATAACATTTGATTTTGATATTTGTAAGGCTTAGTGTTTAAGGCAGCAGCTCCAGATTTCTTCAATTTGTTTTTCTCACTCAATGTTCATACGAATATTCTCGAGGCATCTCTAGTCGAATTTCATTTTTTTATAACATATTTTCCTGAAACAAGTAAATAATAATATAAGATGGTTGTCAATAGCTTAGTAAATGAAAGGCGAATAAGAAGGTAGAATCGGGGGGCACGGCAGTGCCCCCGCCAAGTCGAGCAAACAAGTCGAGCAAAAAAGGGCACGGCAGTACCATCCTTTTCTCGAAGCGATTCAAAGCATTTTCCACCCCCCCATAACTTCGTTATGGATAAAGCTAGAAGCTTGAATTTTGAGTGACTAAGAGAACATAATAAAACTAGGTACATTTCCAAATTACATTCAATTTGAACCAGTAGTTTATGAACTGTTGCAGATCAAAATTCGTTAATATCGTCACTCACTCACTCACCGATCATCAAAATTCTAAGGTACTTCTAGCAGACATAGAAGCTTCAAATTTTGAACACAATTAGTGTTTACCTTATAACCCAAGGAAAAATTCAAACATCACGAAATTTCAATCCTGTTTTCGAGATATACAACAAACTGCATAAGTAACTTTGTAATCCTATACGAATAGATATGCGGTATATGGGATTACAAAGTTACTTTTGCAGTTCATACATATAATAATTGTCGTCACTTAAATACATACACATACATATTCACTTGTATCTACGTAAGCGATTATTTAATATAATATGACGCTATGAGTGCAACAATCTTTTTTAAAACTAGATAAGCTATCTACCGCCTACCATATATATATCCGCCTACCACAGTTTCAAATTCGTGCGTACGTCAAACAGTTGTCAATCTGTCAAAACAAACATTGGACGAATCTACTATTCAAGTACTAAGTAAAGGCTTAAATTTTGCTGTTACGCCGACACGCATCCCTTATGAGAATATTATTTGTGCAGTTGAAGATGCTCTGGCCAAAAATACTATGAAATCTGAGGATATGGAGGCCATACGTCAAGATGTTTCATCTTTGTTACGTCGTAGCTCAAGGCCCAAACCTAATCTCAACAAACAACAGTATTTAGCGTTGAAGAACTTACGCAGCAGGTCAGACATTATCATACTACGCGCAGACAACGGAAATGCCACCGTCGTGATGGATACATCAGATTACAATGAGAAAATTAAACAACTTTTGTCGGATGAAAGTACATATAAAAAGGTCAAAACAGACCCAACCACCACTGTGTTAAATAATACTAAAAAGCTTATTAAGAAACACTCCGATGCATTGAATCTTGATGTCAAAAATCTTGTTCCATCTTGTGCAAAGCCGCCTAAACTGTATGGACTTCCAAAGATACACAAATCTAACGCTCCGCTACGTCCAATTGTGAGTCAAATCGACACACCGACTTATAAATTGGCCCAACTAGTAGCGAAAGTACTCTCAACACTCAGAGGACAAACATCAGCGTTTACAAGGGACTCATACCATTTTGTCAATGAGATAAAACACCTACAACTCATGGACAATGAAACTATGGTCAGTTTTGATGTACAGTCTCTATTCACCAACCTACCAGTAGAGGACTGTGTCAAAATAGTATCAAGAAAGCTACGGGATAATAGTATGCAAGAAGAATACACTGAACTTTTGAAACACTGCCTTACATCTGGCTATCTATTGTGGAATGATGAATTCTACAAGCAAGTGGATGGAGTGGCCATGGGTTCGCCGGTCTCTCCCGTTGTAGCTGACATCTTCATGGAAGCCTTCGAGGAGACCGCCCTAAACACATCACCTGTGACCCCTCGTTTCTACAAGCGGTATGTAGATGACACTTTCACAATATTACCATCTGATAAAATATCTGTATTCTTAGAACATCTTAACTCCATAAACCCTAAAATACAATTTACAATGGAATTGGACTCTAATAATTCTTTAGCTTTCTTAGATGTATTAGTCATACGTAACCCAGATAACACCTTGAGTCATACTGTGTATCGAAAGAAGACCCATACTGATAGGTACTTGAATGGTGAATCTCACCACCCCCCTTCACAGTTAGCTACCGTGGGAAAATCTTTGTTTCAGAGGGCACGCGGGATCTGTGACGAGCAACACCTGGCCGGAGAACTGCAACATGTCAAGCAAGTTCTGCGAGACAACAAGCTGCAAGTGCCGCGCCTACGTCACAGGGACCGAGTGAAACCAGCCACAGTCGAGCGCGTCCCTGCAGTCCTACCTTACATGAGAGGCGTCACTGACAAGATTGGCTACATTCTAAAGCGAGCTTCAATTAAAACTTACTTCAAGCCGCCAAAGAAAATTAGTCAGTTTCTACCACCTGTCAAGTGCCACATCCCTCTACAAGATGCAGGAGTTTACAAGCTTGATTGTGATTGTGGGCTCTCTTACATCGGACAAACAAAGAGATCCATTAGAACCCGGGTCAAAGAACACATAGCTGATGTGAAGCACCGTCGCAATACAACATCTGCTGTCTGCAAACACAGTCAGGACCGCCCAAGCCATTATATTCGCTTCGATAGGCCTCAAATCCTGGCGAAAGAAAACCGATATCGCCCTAGAATGATTCGAGAAGCCATAGAAATTAAAAAACATCCTAATTTCAATAGGGAAGATGGCTGGGTACTACCATCGTCATGGGATCCTGTTATTAATATAATAAAATCTAATAATAAACATAACAGACAGGTAGATGTAGTAAGTTCTTACTGTGTAGATCAAAATGATAGCATTTCTGATTAATAATATTTTTTCACTTTTTCATTTGTAAATGTATGTAGTAATGTGTTGCTTAATAATTTGTTTTTAAATAATAGCAAATTTAAATTAAAAAAATTATTATTTTTAATTAATCTTAATTTTTTCAAATTACACATAGATCAATTGTGGCTTAAATAATTAATACTATATTTTATATTTTTCTTATGGTTATAAATATAATAATGGCAACACTAAATATAGATTGCTAATTAATATTTTTAAAATTGTAATAATTATAAAAATAATAGCAAAAATTAAATAAATAATTTTCCATATTCAATTATAGTTAAAATTATAAAAATATTTAAAGTTAAAATATTGTAATGTAATTGGTGCCATTTTCATTTTGTTAATTGTGGGTAGGCTGTCTGTAACAACTATATCTTTAAGACATGTAACACCTCAGTCTCTCCCGTGACCATGGATGCTGTAAAGCATTCGAAACGTCGGGAAACAAAAATACAAATAAATCCGCGACAAAATCCGAAAAGATAGTTTTATTTAAAATGTCAAATATTCGCGTAAATCTAAGAAAGTATTAGATAAGCTATCATTAAATATATCAATGTCCTTATTCCTGCTAATTAAACTATAGGATCTCATAATTCTATTAAGAGGTGAGTTATACCCCAAATTGGAGTAAGTAGCATTTGTTACGAAGAACGCTCGTTTATCTAAACGTAGGCACTTAGAATTGAATTCTTCAATATAATACTTTCACGACATATTAAACAAGTTGCTGCATTGTTTTTGTTCGGCACTACAAAATAATCCGTTTCCCACTCATCTTGAAACAATCTGTTTTCACAGATCAGATATTTTTCTTTTATATTTAGAAGATACTCCTGATATTATATTGAAAATATAAAATAATAATTTGATACTAAAAACCTCAATTAACTGCAATTACTGGGTGAAATTAGCTTTAAACAAGTTACGACCGGCAAACAAAGTTCGTGGACGGCAAGGGGATTGCCGTACATTCCGTCTCGCTCATGCAACCACAGATTACTAATAATAGGCTACGTTCCAATTCACGACGAAAACGCTGATAGCGCTCGGCTCACTTTCTCGTTCTGAAACACCCATTCTCTGATGGGCGCGAAAATTAAAATGGTTTACAATAAATCTGGAACTTCAGATGGGCCAACAACAAAGGACCGGCGGGCCGCATGCGGCCCGCGGGCCGCGGGTTGACTATAGCTGATCTAATGTAATATCTACAATTATATATGCTCGTAACAAATTCTATTACCTCATGTTAGTTATAACAGGTACAATATTCCCCCCTTTTTATAAAAAATTAAAGTAATTAAAAATATATAAAAGTATATAAATTTTAACACAAAAAATCTAAAATGTAAAAAAAATGTATAAAATTAAATTCTAAGCATAAAATATTGTTTGCAAAAAAAATGTTATTATTAATACCTAAAACTACCATAATTACATACTGTAAGGGCAATGTCGATAGTTAGGTCGAATAGTAATAGTTTTGTAATAGCAACACCTTAAACAAGGATAGATATAGCAAATAAATGTAATGTTGGAGTGAGATAGCGTTATTGATAATACATATACTTCCAAGATGTCGTTGTTTCATTAAGCCACCCTATCATGGCGCTGCGACAAATTAATTAAAATAAATAGGAAAAGTTAAAGTTAAAGTAAAAATAAAGTAAATTTTCGATAGAATATATAGTAACAAGTGATGATCAATTAAAAATAATTGAAAAGTATTATCTAAAAACCAGATGTAGCCGGATTGTGAAAAAGCATACGTTTCATGCAAAGTAGCACGCAATACGTTTAATTGCGAGTACCACGTTCAGGTACTATCTGTAGGGTTTTCAGGTATTTTCAGCTACAAATTAACTTAAATAATGGAAGCAATAGAAGAGGAAAAATTTCAAAATTACACGGTGGCACAATTAAAGGAAGAGTTGGTATTACGATATTTGCCAACAAGTGGCCTTAAGCAAGACTTAATTAAACGGATTATACAAGACAACAAGGTAAAAATAGAGAATGGTACATTGGAAGCGTTAAAAGAAGAAAAGTTTAGAAGAGCATCTCAAGTTTTGGAAATGGAGTCCATGAGACAACAAATTCTAGAGTTACAGGCACGGAGCGTTCCTTTTTCAAACCCAGGTACGTCTAGCGATAGTAACA